CTCATGGCACAGAAACCTGGTTCTTCTGTGGAACAGCCTGGAATGATCTCAGTGTTCCCAACAGGACCTTCACATTAATGATTAATGATTAATGACGTTCCTGATCAAACTTTTCCTTGAAATAGGAACGAGAAAAACAAACAACAGTGAAGGAGAGCTGGTCCGTCCCTCTCCCCCGACCCCCCCCCCCACGTGACTTCACCCGGTGGGAGGATTTCTAAGAAGCGCTGGTTTTGTTTCACTGACGTTCAGACTTTCCAGGAACTGAGCCTCACATTCTTCAGAAGTTCACATAAACACAGCCAGGCCCCCGGATGAAAAAAGGGAGGGAGGGGAGGCGTAACCCCCCCACCCCACCTCCCCCACACTCTCAGGCATGTGTGTGACCACCAATGCAGTTAAACAGTGGAACAGACACGTTTTTCATTCTTGTCATGAGCCACGTCTCTACAACACGGGGGAGGGGAGGGGGGGGTGGGGTCAGCATTGACTCTGACAGTCTTTATAATAAATAGAAAATTTATTTATGTACAAAACATGTTTTACAACAAAGAGTAAAATCCACTGCCATCGGTACCAAAAACTGTAATATTTACAATTATCAACAGTATTTACAGTCAGTCAAGTCAAAGGTCTGCACCGATTCATTAGCATTTAGGACGTAAACCATAATCACATGACCTGTGACCTGTGACCTCACCTGCAGGGAGCAAACAAACCACTGTGAACTGGCAGAGGTTTGGGTTTGAGCACCAACATGAACATCAGATAACAAAGGCACATCATCATCATCATCATCATCCTCATCATCCTCGTCATCATCATCATCATCATCATCATCATCATCATCATCATCATCATCATCATCATCATCATCATCATCATCATCATCTTCCTCGTCGTCGTCATCATCATCATCTTCATCATCATGGACACAGGCTCCTCAGTATGTTTGTATACACTGTATATACACTGTATATACACTGTATATACAGTGTATATACACAGTGTATATACAGTGAACACGTGGTACACGTGGTGCAGACAGGACCCTCTGGACACGTGACTGCATCAAAGCCCCCCCGACTCTGAGGAATGCAGGAGAGGAGGGTTGGGGGGGCGAGGGGGGAGCCACAAGGATCATCACAAATCAGGAGCCAGCTGCCAAACCGCCCCCGGGGGGGGGGGGGGGGGGGGTTAATGCACATGTGGCAGTGAAGGGTGAAGGTCACAGAGTTAAAGGCACAGTGTGCAGTGTTTCCTCCAAGGCCACAGATGGTCGGAGGTCAAACGCCAGGAATGGTCGTTAGTGCTAGACTTACCCCCCGGGGGCCCCCCCCCCCCCCCAGCTGAAGGGCATTAAACCTGAGGTGATTTCCTCGTCCACAGTTAACAAAAATAGTTGTTTTAGTTTTTAAGTTAATTTAAAATAAACATTAAGGCCAAAAGTTGGGCTGTTGTTATCAAAGGTGTGGGTCGTGTCAGCAGTGAAGGGACGTTTGATTTGAACATCACTGCAGCAGACACTGATGCCATATGTTAGCATTTAAGCACAAACGCTAACTCAAGCTAGCCTAGTGCTAATGTCTAAAACCTTCTGTAGAAATAAACAACTATTTGTACTGAAGGTGGCGCACACACAATTATTTTACATTTCACGTCAGTTCTTTGAGCTCCACACGAGTCATATGATGGACGTCATTTATAATCAGGGTCTGTGGTCACATCCCACTCATCCTTTAAGGGTTCATGGTGGGATTGGCTCCTCACACATACAGCCTGCAGTTCACCTAATCTTGCAGCCTCGGCGCCTCCTACTGGGCAGCCTGTTGTAGCAGAGTTCAAATTAGAGACATGAGGATGAAGAGGAAACACAGGATTCCTTTTTAACAAGGAACCAGTACCAGTGTTCCAATGCTGCAGAACTGCGCCACCTTCCTGTCAACATTCACATTTGACTGTCCAGCAGAGGGAAGGATTCATTTCATAACAATCGTCAAACATGGCTGTGAAATTCAACGCTTCTGATTGGCCCGTACTGGCACTTGTGTAAAGAGTGGGCGGAGCTGAAGGAGCTCCTCCTTCTTCATCAGTGAACCTGAGTGTCATCACAGACTGGCTGGGACCTCAGAGGTCATCACAGACTGGCTGGGGCCTCAGAGGTCATCACAGACTGGCTGTGACCTCAGAGGTCATCCCAGACTGGCTGGGACCTCAGAGGTCATCACAGACTGGCTGGGGCCTCAGAGGTCATCACAGACTGGCTGGGGCCTCAGAGGTCATCACAGACTGGCTGTGACCGCAGAGGTCATCACAGACTGGCTGTGACCGCAGAGGTCATCACAGACTGGCTGGGACCCCCAGATTTCTGTGATGACTGAGGTAAAAACAAAGTCACTGTAGGTCATCATCATCATCATCATCATCATCGTCGTCGTCTTCATCATCGTCACTCTCTCCTCCGCCCACCACCATGACCTCCATCAGTTCTCTGTGAAGGCTGGATTGTCTGCTTCTTCATTCAGGCACACCACCTGTCTTAGATTAGATTAGATTAGATTAGATTAGATTAGATTAGATTAGATTAGATTAGATTAGATTAGATTAGATTAGATTAGATTAGATTAGATTAGATTAGATTAGATTAGATTAGATTAGATTAGATTAGATTAGATTAGATTAGATTAGATTAGATTAGATTAGATTAGATTAGATTAGATTAGATTAGATTAGATTAGATTAGATTAGATTAGATTAGATTAGATTAGATTAGATTAGATTAGATTAGATTAGATTAGATTAGATTAGATTAGATTAGATTAGATTAGATTAGATTAGATTAGATCAGATCAGATCAGATCAGATTAGATTAGATTAGACCCCCCCACAGGAGACGTGTGTCTCTGGGATCAGGGGTGAAGGTTCATCAGACTGACCTTTGGATAAGAGTAGCCGTCCAAACTGTTGTTCCTCCAGATGTGGACCTGATCCTCCGTGGTCTTCTGGTAGACGGGGTTGTCAAAGTGGATGGTGTTGGTGCTCTTCAGTTTGTAGTTCTTCCACAGCAGCAGACCACCAACGAGCAGCAGACACATGGCAGCTGCATCAGAAGGGAAGGGGGGGTATGGGGGGGGAATTACGTAATAGTACTT